CAGAGCCTCTCAGGTTCTGTAGAATGTAGCCTGGAAAAAAAAAAGATTCAATCCTAGCTTTTGTCAGAGTTTATGGGTGATGCTGGACATGTGAAAAAAACAAAAACCTTTATTTTCTTTTGGGCCACTTACTGCCTGCTTCTCATTGTTTTATTGCGTGACTTGAGACACTGTGGTCTGATTTGCAGAAGTCATGAGCACTCAGAGCTACAATTGAGGTGAGTGGGAAGGACGCTTTGAACAAACCAAGTACTATAAAAAGAGAATGGCTCTGCAAAGTTAGACCCCAGCTGCCTCGGACTGCTCATGCAGAATTACTTTATGGTTTGTCTAGCTCTCACTTTCATCTCCGCGTCACTGTTTCCTATGTAAGGAATGTATGAAATATGCAGGGGTTGTGCTGATAAATGCACTAAATGTCTGTAAAATACAAAGGTGTGTGAAGCACTGAGGTCTGTAAAGCACCTAAAAAGGATCTTGAGGGACCTCCCTGAAATGTTTCAAGTAGCCTTTGGGACCTGGGCTAAGACACTACAATTGGATCCTCATAGGAAAGCCCATGGTGAAATGACTAATTCTGTACTCAAGACAGTCCCAGGACTGTGCAGCAGTTAAGCACCCATTAATTGCATGGAATATACAGTGAAGTGTGTGAACACATCTTTATGAACTGAACACTGTATATCCTGTGCATTGGTTGAGGCAGGGCTCTCTTGGTTGGGGACGGGAAGTACAGGATGATGTAATTGTATATTGCCTCATAAATAATGGATTTGCACAAGAGGTGAATTCAAGTTGTACAGACAAACTTAATTCTTTGTATACTAACTTTGGAGTGGATTCATAACCTTAACCTCTTTTGAATGTGATTTCTGTAATGTGATTATAGAATCTAGCATGTTAGAAAGCTCAGCAGTATCGGTCCTTCCTAGGGTTATCAAAGTGCATGAGGCTATCTTACAAAGCCATCAACTTCTACTGAATGAGAGCCAACTGACTCAGCTTCCTAAAGCCTGGTTTATAATTTCTGTCTCTGTAGCACCATCAGACATGAGTGAGCAGGTGATAGCACCATCAGACATGAGTGAGCCAGTGATAACCTACTCGGCTGTGAAATTTGATCCTTCTAAAAGTCAGGAACATGGAAACAAAGGTACTGTATGGGATCAAACATCATTGTAGAAAAATAACAGCACTGGTTAATTCAGGGACTGGTAGAAAACTCCAAAAGTCTTTGTGTGAATTAACCACCACTGAGTAAACACTGCTGACAAAGAAAGAGAAGCCTTAGCTGAACCATTTTCCAAGGTCCTTCTTGAAGATGTTTAAGATGTTCTGAATCTTCAGCTGTGCTGCCTTTCAGACCCATGTCACCAATTTGTGCTTTCTTCTTCTTGCTTGGATTCATGCCCAGGAAGTCATATATCAAATGCAGACTAGTATGCTTTCTTTCCTCATGGTACATGATGTTTCTGTGCTTGATCCTTTGAATGTGACATCAGCCACCCTTCTCTCATGAAAAATAGTCTTATAATGATGAACAGGGGATATTTACTTTTGCCATGATTACCCTTCAAAGTTCATGTTTTTGAAGGTTTTTGAAAGATCTCTGAAAGCTTAGAGATCTTTTGATCTACAGATCTTTGGCAAGTTCCCTGTATCAAGTCCTGTCTTCTTTTCTTAGAAGTACATAGCAGGTTTTCACCATAGCTCAGCCCTTCTAAAGTAGGTATCAGACTGCTGTAAAGCTTCTGATTAAATGGACCACAAGAATCTATTGTGTATAAGGTATTTGGCTTCGGTAAAACTGATATCTTTGTGTGCTTAATGATAAGCTCTGCTTTCTTAGGGTGTTTTCATCAAAGGCTCTGCAGCAAGCTTTCCTAAGGATGCATAATCAGCTTTATATTAGATTATCAGGACCTGATTTAGAGAACCATAGAATCCTTGGGGTGGAAGAGACGACAATGGTCATCCCAAGTAGAAGAAGTAGAGGCTTTTCCCACCATTCTTATCTTCTAGCATGGGATAATAGACTACTCTGGGATCCTCCTGTAATACACACCTTGTCCCCTCCCGCACTGTGCTATTGGGTCTGCAAACCAAATCTAAACTCTGTTCCCATTTCCTCAGCAGTCAGAGAGAAGGAAATGGTAGCTTACTCTGAGCTGAAGTTTCAGAACCAGGCAGAGCAGCAGACTGGCAGAAGATTTCAGCAAGCAGATGGCAGAGATCCTGAGGGCAGTCCAAGCCCATCAAGAAGAAATAAAGGTAACCATGTCTGCCTTCTGCAACCCACTGTAACCCATCAGTCCTTTTCTGGAGAGCTGTGTGTGACATTGATCTCTCCTCAGTGTACGACTTTGCACTTTTTATTGGACCTCATGAGGTTCGTGTAGGCCCAATCCTCCAATTTGTATAGATCACTCTGAATCCTAGCCCTACCCTCCAGCCCTCGAGCTTGGAGTCATGTGCAAGCTTGCTGAGGGTGCACTCTGTGCCATCTTCCCAGTTGTTGATGAAGACATTGAACAAAACCGGCCCCTGGGGCACTCCACTTGATACCAGCTGCCAACTAGACACCAAGCTGTTGGTTACTACCCTCTGAGCCTGATTCTCCAGCCAGTTTTCTTTCCACCTTACAGTCCATTCTTCCAGCCTGTGCTTCCTTAGCTTGCCTGCAAGAATGTTGTGGGAGACTATATCAAAAGTCTTGCTAAAATCAAGGTATATCGCAACCAGTTGTCTCTACAGAGCCAGTCACCTCATCATAGAAGGCAATCAGGTTGGTCACGTGGCTCCTGGGGCAAAGGCAGTCTGTCTCTGCCTTCGCTGTGCTCTGCTCCAGTTAAAAAGTGTCCTGGCACTTAAAAATGGTGGCATGATTGGTTTATGTTTGCCCTTTTCCAATCATTTGGACCTCTTCTGATCACCATGAGTTTCCAAAGATGATGGCCAGTGGCTTTGCAATCACATCAGCCAACTCCATCAGCACCCTTGGGTGTATTCCACCCAGCCCCATCAACTTGCATGCGTTCAGCTTTTATAAATAAGCCCTAAACTGATCTTTCACCACTGTTAGCTGCTCACCTCCTCCCCAAACCGTGCTGCCCAGTGTAGTAGTCTGGGAGCTGACCTTGCCTGTGAAGACTGAGGCAAAAAAGCATAGAGCACTTCAGCATTTTCTGCACCCTCTATCACAGGGTTGCCTCCCCCACTCAGCAAGGGACCCACACTTTCCCTGACCCTCCTCTTGCTACTGACATACTTGTAAAAACTCTTGTTACTCTTTACATCCCCTTGCTAGCTGCAACTCCAATTGTACTACATGGCAACATTTACCATATAAAGTGTTCATTGGAAAATACGTCTGCAGCTTTATTGAAACATCCTGTCACTTTTTAGATCAGTTGTCCTTTTCCTGTTATTAGTATTTGAATTTATCACTTGTATTGTTTTAGTAGCTAGGAGTTTTAGTTATGAAGCAGAACCCCATTAGTGTGATTAGCTACGTACAAACACAGAACACAGAACCAGTCTCTGTCCTAAGAGGCTTATACCTACATGTGACAACACTAGAGTACAGATGTACAAAGAACTTACCGGAGGGTGAAATGTCACAGGGCTTCATTGCATGTCAGCTGTTGCTTGGTAGCTACATGACACTCTGTTACTGCTCTGAGTATATTTTCATTGAACACTTAGCTTGTGTGATAGGAACCCAGGCCAGACAACATGGATTAGCTTGTCTCAAGAGTAATGAACCACACTGCACAGCTACACTTGAGTTATTCTGTTCTCATTGGAGGTGCCTTTTCCTGGGAGCATCACAGGGACTTGTAAGAGCCACCCAGTGGTTTTTCATGCTACACTGAACTGTCCTGCTCCATGTTGTTTTCTGCATTGAGTTGTGTGACTAGGACATTCTGGGAAAGCACTGGAGGACTATCAGGGCTGAAATGATGTAGCTGATGTCATTAGAAAGGGGACACGTTACAAGCCATAGCAAAAGCAGCATCTGGATTCTGTGAGCTAAATGTTATTACCCTTTACGTTCCCACATGGCATTTTCCACCTGTATCAGTGGCATTGCCAGCATTTAACGTGAGTTTGGAAGGCACTGAACTATTCTGGTTTTGCAATTCTATTACCTGTATACTGTGGACAAGTGTATTTCCCAATATACTTTTATTTAAACCCCTGCCACTGCCCTGGAATCCTGCATCAGCCAGTAGTTTATTTACTGCCGTTGTTACATCATTGGACTCCATAACTGCAGATGCCTGAGTCATTTTGCACTTCTTTTTTTATAAAACATCTTTGTTAATGTCAAGCACAGAGAGGGAGAGCTTCATTTTGGTAAGTCCATTAGGACAAAGGGGCATTTCTTTCACCCATTGTTCACTTTCCCTGTTATCCATGTTTCCCCCCATCAATCACAGCTATTTCTAGGAGACACATTTATGGATGTCCAGACAAGGATTTTCCCATTTTTCTTCCTGAGTTATTTATGATATGGTGTATGAGTTTTGCAGATTTAAATACTTACTAGGGCTGTGCAAAACTTCAGGAGCCAATTCAATTCAGAGGAGATTTGGCCTGATTTGGTGGCTGAATCTCCATATCTGAATCAAATTGGGAGACCTATTAAAATGTCCTAATTGAATTGGAAGCCTCTGAATCAATTTGGAGAGATTCGGGCACATTCAGAAGGCTAGTAGCAAACAGAAACTGAGAAGGGGGAGGGGGATGCGGTGATCTTCCATATATGGACAAGGCTGAGTGGGGTGGGAACGACTACTCTGATATTGACATCTGTAGCTGGCGAGTGACTGTGATCTTTCTCTGAGTTCCCTTCCAATCACAGTACTTGCAGGGGAGTGATGGGGGGGGCGAGGGGCGGGCGGGGGAGGGGCGGTAGAAACAAAATATAAAGCTGTGTGACGTGATCTATGACTCTTGTGAGCTGTGTTTCTCTTGGAGCAGCAGTGTCTGAAAGACTCTGGCTTACTACCCAGTCTCTTGCTACCTAGTCTGTCTTCTTGTAAATTGTATCCAATTGTGGCAGGGCACTGTTGGTGCCTGCCATTTTAAGGGCTGAGCCAAGCAGCCTGCAGGTGCTTGATTGCGGTGGCCATTTTAGATCTCTGGCTGCCTATATAAACAGAGCAGTTTGCTACTATTAGGATAGGCAGAAATATTGTCTGGCTCTATGCAACATCCGGGAGGTAAGGGCAGGCGCTTTTGGGGATGGTTTAGAGGCTTGTGGTCCTGGGCATGACTAAAACTGCACCCTGCTGGGAGTGGGTGGCCTGGTGGGGCTCCCAGGGGTGCAGGAGCCCCCAGGAAATACTAGGCCACTTACCAACCTGGTGAAAATTGGGATGGGGTGGGTTAATAACCCCAACTTCCATAACTGAATGGGTTACCCCACAGTAGGGAAGAAAGTGGGCCCAGGCCAGAGAGTGGGCTATAGACTCAGAAGTCTGACTTAAAATACCCTTGACTGGTCAGTGCTGGGACCAGGACCAGAATGGTCAAAAGGGCCTGGGTCCCACTGTGAGGGATGCCCAGAGCTGAGGGACGGGAGTTTCTGACTGGCCTTGGAGGTGAGGCCAGGGCCTGTGTGGCCAAAGGTCCTGGGGAGACCATGCCCAAGAGGGGGAACAGTTAAGGGATCTAGGCAGCCCCAAATGAAAGCAGAGTAGGCTGCCTGAATGGAGGAATCTAGTTGGGGTCCAGTTCGGAGGATTCTGGGACCCAGTGTGGGGCCAGTGACATCAACAACTGTGGATGCCATCTGCAAGGCTTGGGCTGTGGTGTAGGGGAGGAACAGAGCCATAGATAGCACCCCCTGGCATCAGAGCAAGAAGTGGGCAGCCTCCTGCCTAATTAACATCCTAATAGTGCTGGAAATAAGTTTAACCAGGCCACTTTCTTGACTAAGAGGAGAGACCGAGAGAGAAGAGAAAGATGCTGATGCTATGTGTTTCAAAATCTTCTAAGGTAAGAAACCTTCATGCCTTGTTTTGTCTTGATCTATTAAGCTCTGTGTGCAGATTTTAACCTCCTCTCCTTCGAGCCAGAAGCTGATAACTGGTCCCAAAACATATTGTTTTTTGTGAGTAAGTAAACTGCTTGCATGTGACAAACAAATGATCAACATCTTTCTGTTTCTTTCAAGGTTGTTTTGTCTGAACCCTGCATCTTTTCCTGCTGTCTAAATTATAAATACGCTTCTAAATTTTGTAGAGGTCAGAGTTCCTTTGAAAACCCTCCTTGTGATCACTTGTATAGCTTTAAATAAACCTAAATGGCTCTGCCAATTCTAATACGACCACAACGCAAAGTTTGATTTCTTCCACATAGTATATCATCAAGGCATGGCAGAGGAGGAGGTGGGTGGCTGCCCATAGAAACAGGTGGGTGGGCCATTGGTAGACTGGCCCCGAGGAAGCTCCCTGTTACACCATTCCTTTCCTACTTACCTTTGCCTACAATCCCTATTGTTATCTCTATCCATTCCTCTCAACTGATTCTTCCCCCCCCACAAATCCTCTTATTTGTTCTTGTTAGTCTATCTTCCCTTCCCCACCCCACCCCCCTCCCCCCAAAAAAAAGAAGAAAAAAAGAAATCTGTTTTGCCTGACAGTGTGTCATCACTCTGCAGGAAAGTACAACATGTATTATATACAAACGCACATTTTGCAGCACACTAAACATTATGAAGAGTGCTGGAAAGACAGGTGCCAGGTCTTCTGGGAGGAGAGGGAGCAGGGGTAGCTTACAGCTCTCCAAATATAGATACACCCTCTTTGCTGACAGCAATGAGGCTTCTGCTGCTAGTCGGAACAAGGAGGTGCTAGCAGTGCCTGCACCACTTGCAACACCACTAACCATCAGCAGCATGACATTTTCCATACCAATTTCAGTTCCTAGCATAAGCCTTCCAGTACCAAAGGAGGAACTAGATCTGTAAGCAGAGGAGCTGAGGCCATAGTGAAGGACATTCTGGGGAAAGAGGGGGGATCTAAGTTTGTGCCCCACACCTCTCAATGTTCCCCAAGAGGCAGGTCTCATTCTCAAGAAAGCACCTCAGAGGAGATTGTGGGGACAGGTGCCTCAGCTTCTGTTGCTGTGCCTCTGTCTGGTGAGGAGGGGCATAAAGCAGGATCCCCATTCTCAACCCAGAAGCAGGTGGGTAGTGTAGTGTGGAATTGTTTTGATGTGGGAGATGATCCTAGGTTTGCTATCTGCCATCACTGCTGAAGGCAGATCACCCAAGGGCAAGGAGGTGAAACACTTTGCCCCCACGGCGATGCTGCTGAATCTCAGGAGGCAGCACCCCCCTTGCCTTTCTTCCTGCTCAGCCTGGCACGAGTGGAAGCATGTCCTAAAATAAGTCCCCCCCCCCCTCCCTCTCTCTCCAAAGCCCCTGTCCCCAAGAAGGAGAGGCAAGCACCCCTGGACCAGTGGGGGAAAGGTGGAGACGAAGTGGGACATGTTCTGAAAGCAACCGAGGTTACCCAGAGCATTGGGGAGATGCTTGCTCACGATGGCCAGCCCTTCTTAGCTGAGCATCCAGAGTTCAGGTGGCTCATGGCCCCATTGTACCAAGCGCCTGCACGTATCACCTTTAGCAGGACAGCGGTGCCCCCCCCCCCCCTTTATGAGG